CCCGATGATCTCACAAGGTCCCTTCCAGCCCTAAACTCCTGTGAAGTACCAAAATAACTTCCCTCAATTGTGACTAAAATCATGGCTAATTGGAGTCAATTGTCCTTTAAGCCCCTGTAACTGTCCTGCTCCTGCCTTGACATCAGTCAGATCTCAGACCTGGATTCCAACAGTCTGGTTTTAGCCTAAAAAGTAGCATATTCTTGCTGCTGTTCAAAAACAAGAATTATTTATTTATTTATTTATAGACCACTGATTGACGTATTCAACCATCGGTACTTCCTTTCTATTCCATATGAAGAATGCAAGAGGAGGAGGAGGTAGGTTTGGGGCTCTGTCTTTTAAGTTAATGGATTTTGTTAGTAATATTGTTTTAGAAAAAATGTAATGTGGCTGTAAGGAAGTTTTTTGATTTCTTTGTAAAGCTTCAGTTGCGCAGAAGATGATCGAGGGGACACTAGATTGATTCTTCTATTTAGCAGAGTAGACAGGTTATTGATTGATTAAATCATCAGCATTCTTTAAAGATGAATTCTGGAAACAGTGACTGATACATAACTGACTTCCTTACCAGTCTTAGTCTTTCAGTACTTGAGGGTTTTTTTTTATACACCACACATAGAGAACTGCTAATTATTTACAGTATTGTGCATGTAAAAGGAGTTGGTGCAGTAACACTGAGAACCTTAAATCTCATTTCTGCAGCTAGACATATCAATCCTTAAACTTGATTCTGAGGTTTTATTTTGTCAGTCTACTTGCAGCTGATGCATAATACAAAGCTCATACTTGATCAGAGTCAGATAATTAAAGTCAAGGTGACTGGTTCTGACTCAGTGGGTAAAGAATTTGAATACACTGCCAACTTTTTCTAATTTGTAATATAGGATTAAGCTGAAGAGTCAAATAATCTGGTAAAGTTGTGTTTTTAATTTCTAGTTCAAGAAATTACACTGTACCAGACCCACCTGGATTGTTTGATGGCCATGTCTGGCCTATGTATGTAAAACACAAAAGGATAATGGAAGATCTTAAAGTTGATGTGGGTAAGTAACTTGGGTAATTGAAGCTCTTTTATATGCTTACTGTATCAGGTAGTCCTTATGAGCTTGAAGAAGAGATAACACATCCTACTTAGCTGACAGTTGTTCAAGGTTTTTAATTCAGAAGAAAGAATTAAAATACTTCTGGCCAAATGGAGAACTTTTTCTGGGATTGGTTATGTTTCTGGTTTCTTTAATGACCCAATTTGGAAAGCTGGTAGGGTCCTAATTCTATAGTATGTGTCCTTAGACTTAATTCAGGCTAAGTAATTGATTGATGTATTTATATTCAAGTGCACTTGGATGGAACTAAATCAAGGGAAGAGCTTTTTAATGAAGTGTATGGACAAATCCAGAACAAGATAGAAGAATTACTGAATATGCAGGTAAGTGACTTCTACTAAAGCAAATCTAATGATAAGAGCATATTGATTGAAACAACTCTCATTTATTTACTGTTTTGTAATGACTTCTGGAAGTTGGAAAGCAACTAGTTGCTTTTTAGTTTTCACTTACTAAAATTAAGTATGTACAGGCAACCCTCACCATTTGCAGGAGATATGTTCTTGAGATCCCTGTGAAGGGTGAAATCTGTAAATATGGCACTGCATTCACAAATGTCATGAATGCAGTGCCCCTGCGGGGTGGGGGGGCCATGGCTGTGCTGGCAGTGGCAAGCAAGGAGCTCCCGGAAGTGTATTTAAGATGCAAGTTTGGCATTTGCAAATACTTGAAACTGCGAATGCTGAGGGTTTCCTGTGGTGTCAATTATGTATATGTAACATGTATGTAATATCGCACACTGAAGTGATGTTCTTTTTACAGAGATAGACAAGCAGTGCATGGATCCTTACCATCCAAGAAGATGCCTCTTAGTACTTTAACTTATTTGTGTACCAGACTTTGGCAATTAAGTCTCAGCTTCTGTGAAGACTTCATTTTTTTTTTTTTTTTTTTAATTGGACTCTTCAGTTTTCGCCTGAAAACCAGTTACATTTGGCCTTGATTAAAAATATTTTTTTCCATCTGAAGTCTCATTGTGCTTTGGTTTATGCTTGAGGTTGGAGAGTAACTTTTACCATAGCCATTATTTCTTTCCTTTATGTAAAAGTCGAGGTGGGCTGAAGGAGTCTGAATTTTAATTTTCACTTTTTGAAGTGGGCATTTCTGCGTAGCAATAGAAACATCCTAAGTGGTACCACAGCTTACAGTTGCTAGCTTTTAGGTTGCAGTTCATTCTGTTTCATTGGTGTACAATTAACGTTGCTACTGATGCCATTATGCTTGCTTTGGGATATATGAGGACAGTGCACTTAAGTTTCATGGTGTCAAAGGCCTTCAGGCAACAGTAAAAAAACAGTGTAAGACTAGGTCAGGGGTTGTGAAGCCGGGGTACGTGTATCCCTGAGCATGGGTGTCTGGTGCCACTTGAGTCGGGGGTGGGGCACATGCCTCCCCTGATACCAGTCAGTGACTTGGGGGGGGGGTCCCCAATGGCTGCTCTCACTCACCATGAAAGTGGCCACACTGCTTCTGGAAGTCCTGCAGCCACTTTTACTGGCAGCCCTGGTCCCTGCCCAGTACTTGCAGGGGGGTACTGGTACTCCCACCTGACTGCCAGCTACATGGGGAGCCCAGCCTTGCACATGCACCCCCTACATGTCACCCCTGCCCCCAGGGGTGCTTGAGAAGGCCCTATGAGGTACGTGTGGGCAGGCAAACAGAGTGCTGCCATGCAGCATCCTGTGCAGGCACTACCTAGCTGGATGTGGGAGGCAGAGGAAGCTTGCACATGGCTGCCAGTGCTCCGCACTTGGCCATGCACCAGCCCTTCTGTGTGTGCCAGGAGTGGCACAATCAAAAAGGTTGAAAACCCCTGGACTACGTGGTATCCTGGAATCTACCTGCAAGCAGCTTCTAGCTCGTAATAGCCAGAAAGAAGCTTAAGTGCTTTTTAGCCCTAAATCTAACATTCCAGCGATAAATCATCTAATATGAGAACAGATCTAAAAGATTTTCTTGCCCATTTACATTTAACTTTTACCAAGCTTTTGCTGATAATTCAGTGCAAGTTGACAACAAGCAGGCTGGATCTGGAGGACTTATTTTGGCTAGAGAGTTCCTTAATGACTTGAGCTGTTGAGGGTTGCACACATGCATGTGAGCTCCCCCCAGCTCTCTGCCCCCCCCCCCCCCCCCCTCT